GTGAGGGCTCCAACACTGGAGACTTTTNAATAAGAGATTGGATAATCATGTGTCTGATCTCCTGCCTAAGCAGGGGGTTGGATTAGAAGACATCCAAGGTACCTTCCAACTATTCTATTCTATTCTATTCTATTCTATTCTATTCTATTCTATTCTATTCTATTCTATTCCATTCTATTCCATTCTATTCTATTATTTCCATTCCAATTCCATTCCATTCCATTCCATTCTATTCTATTCTATTCTTTCCATTCCAATTCCAATTCCAATTCCAATTCCAATTCCATTCCATTCCATTCTACTCTACTCCACCACTCCACTCCATTCTATTCTATTTGTGCTCCTATATGTGATGTGGTCTGTTAAAACTCTGGGCAGGTATTTATACTTTACCTCGTCTAAGTAGCTTAGTTGAAGGTTTTATTTTGCTTTGCTGAATATTTAAAGGCAATGAAGAATATTACATGATCACGTCGACGTCTAAGCATTGTTTCTGCTGAGCATGATTTGGCCCCTTGTTTTCCTTTCTGCAATCCAAGGTTGTGGCTGCACATTCTTGTGCTACTAGAACAAATGCTATTTCTTTTCCACACCACTTCAACCTACTTTCCTCTTGTGTGCTGTCATTATAATCAAAACACAAATTGTTCGGGGTTGAAGGGAAAAGCTCCTCTCATGCTCCTCTAATACAACCTGATTCAAATAAGTCCCGTTTTTAAATAAACTATATGAAATTGTATTATGGTATGATTTTATATTACATTGCTAAATGGAACTGGGATGTTTGATTCTTTTTGCCATTCTCTTAAAAGGAATTCAGAACAAAACAGAAAATGGATTTTTGTGGAGGAAAAGTCTCTTTTTCAACAGCTTCCTTTATTCTGCATCAATTTGTTACTTTCTATCAACCTGAAAAGAAAATGGGATGGGGTGGGGAGGGAAAAGAATTAGAGATTAGAAGGTTTGCTTTAATTTCCAAGGAGAGACATTTTCTAAATTGTCCTAGGAGGAATACAGGTAGTCCTCAACTAACAACCACAATTGAGCCCAATTTTTTTGTTGCTAAGTGAGACATATGGTAAGTGAGTTTTCCCCCATTTTAAGACCCATTTTGCTGCCGTTGTTAAGTGAATCACTGCAGTTGAAAAGTTAGTAACCTGGTTGTTAAGTGCATCTGGCTTCCCCATTGACTTTATTTGTCAGAAGGTCACAAAAGGGGATCACGAGACCCTGGGACACTGTAACGGTCATAAGTATGAGCCAGTTGTCAATCATCTGAAATTTGATCACATGTTCATGGGGACGCTACAATAGTTGGAACTGTGAAAAACGTTCTTAAGCCAGCTGGGAAGTTCTAAATGGTGAGAATAGAATAGAACAGAATAGAATAGAATATAAGAATAATGTAATGAAGAATTAGAGAATAGAGTAGAATAGAATAGAAAATTATGAAAAGAAGAATTAGAGAAAAGAAGAGACAGAGTAGAATAGAAGAATAATGGAATGAAGAATTAGAAAATAGAGAATAGAGTAGAATAGCATAGCATAGCATAGCATAGCAGAGCAGAGCATAGCATAGCAGAGCACAGAACAGAACAGAACAGAACAGAACAGAACAAACAGGAAGGGACCTTGGCTTGGAGGTCTTCTACTCCAATCTCCTGCTCAGGCAGGAAACCCTATGGATAACTGCAATGCCACTTCCTAGCCCCTGGGGACACTACTGCTGACATACGGCTGAAAAGTCCACAGGTAGTCCTCTTTTAGTGACAATTCAAAGTTACAACGGCACTGAAAAAAGTAACTTAGGACCCTTTTTCACACTTACAAGCATCCCAGCATGGTTACATGATCAAAATTCAGACACTCGGCAACTGACTCATATTTATGTCCCAGGATTATGTGATCACTTTTTGTAAGCTTCTGATGAGCAAAATAAACAGGGAAGTCAGATTCACTTAACAGTCATATTGCTAATTTAACAACTGCAGTGATTCACTTAACAAATGCGGCAAGAAAGTTTGTAAAATGGGGCAAAACGTAAAATGGGGCAAAATGTAAAATGGGGCAAAACTGAGCCGAGGTGGCGACGTGGTCTAACCACTATGCCACCTCCGCTCAGTTTTGCCCCACCTGTAGTGCAGCACTGCAGTTCAGCAGTTCAAATCTCACCGGCTCAAGGTTGACTCAGCCATCCATCCTTCCAAGGTGGGTAAAATGAGGACCCAGATTGTTGGGGGCAAAAGGCTGATTCTGTAAACTGCTTAGAGAGGGCTGTAAAAGCTCTGTGAAGGGGTATATAAGTCTAANGGGAACGATGGAGGGAAAAAGAAGAAGGGGACAGCAGAGAAGGAGGTGGCTGGATGGAGTCACTGAAGCAGTCAATGGGAGCTTAAATGGGGTCCGGGGGATGGTAGAGGACAGGAAAGCTTGAAGAACATTGTCCATGGAATCGCAATGGGTCGGACACGACTTTGCAACTAACAACAACAAAGCAACAATAACTACAGCTAGTCTAGCACTGTCTAGACTAGCACTGATGATGTTATCTACTTTGGATAACGAAGCGTCTGTAAGAAAACAAGCCAGCTCGGAGAGCACCAGGGACCCCTCATGTCAACCCTGAGTTACAAATATTCTCCTTTATTAGAATGTCTACCTGTGCAGTTACCTCCTCTGGGTTGTTGTAATTGCAATGCATAGTTCTTTCCTTACGTCCAGAGCTGCTACTTAGCCAGCCCAGCCCCAGAATACGTTTAGACAATGAGAGCAGGAGCCCCCTCACCCGCTCTGAATCCCCAATCATGCCCACATCTGTTTGCCCCAGCTATGGGGATGTTTGCAATACGACTCAGGGGAATCTTCGCACTGACACTTTGTAAGTGCCTGATAAGGAAGCTTGTAAACTTGTAAACAAGCCCATAAACCCTGTAGATCCACCGGGTTTATAAAGATAACTGAAGCGATCCAGGCTGCTTGTTTCCACTGAGTTAGAATTAACTTAGTGGGGCTGCAGGCTGGCACCTTTTCAAAGTCCCTGCCCAGCATGCCACAATGATCTGGAATGGGGTAGCTTTTAAGATGAAGATTGGATGCCTTTTCTAGAGAATAATAAGGACAAGGCAGAAAGCATGTGTAGCCAGAAGAAAATGTTTTTCTTTAAAAATATTCATTTTAAAATCAGTTCATAAACCTTTTATTTCCTTTGTATGTTCATTCCCCGCTCCTGTCTAAATCCTCATCTACATATATAAAAATCTGTGTGTGTGTGTGTGTGTGTGTGTTTGTGTGTGTGTGTTCCAGCATAACTCTGGAACGCCTCGAGCAATTTCAACCAAACTTGGTACACAGATGACATACTCTCTGGGAAAACATGCTGTGTGGGTAAGACACCTCTAACACCCCTTGGTGTGTGTGTGTGTGTGTGTTCATATGTGTGTGTTCCAGCATAACTCTGGAATGCCTGAGCCGCTGAAATGAAAAGGACTGAATTATATCTATAGTGTCAAGTCACAGTACTTTTGACAGTGATAGTGGGCATTTTGGATTCACATTCTGTTAAGATACAGCCTGTTGTGCCTTAAAATGGCTTCCACTGTACAGCACAGTGGAGTTGCCATGATAACAGATTTGCAGTACTCCACAAGGGGGCTCCCTCATAATACAGCATTGGGATAAATACATGCCCGGGCTACGCTGGGTTATCAGCTAGCATTACCTAAATCATCATTTGATTTTAGCATCCGACCAAATTGGCAGGGACTGGGAAGGACGATGGGGTACCACAGAGGGACCTTTGGAGGGATGTCTGGGCTGAAGAGAGAACACGGATGCTCTTTAATCTCAGACCGTCGTTGACATGAGAGGACAAGCAGAATTTTACTCTAGAAGGACCAAACTATTTTTTAAAAAAAAATCACAAATGTAGATTGTCATCAAAACAGATGTGTTATTATTTCTAGTGAAGGGTATGCACCTAATGTAGAGGTGCCCAGAGCGGAACTAATTCTGAAAAGTTGTTAACAAATTCAAGTCAAGTCAGAATAGACCTGGAGGGGACCTTGGCGGTCTTCTAGTCCAACCCCCTGTTCATGTAGGGGACCCTATACAATTTTAGGCAAGTGGCTATCCAGTCTCTTCTTGAAAACCTCCAGTGATGAAGCACCCACAACTTCTGAAGGCAAGCTCTTCCACTGGTTAATTGTTCTCACTGTCAGGAAGTTATCCCTAGTTCTAGGTTGCTTCTCTCCTTGATTAATTTCAATCCATTCCTTCTTGTCTTGCTGAATGCTTTGGAAGATAAGTTGACCCCCTCTTCTTTGTGGCAGCACCACATTTACTGGCATACTGCTATCCTCTCACCCTTAATCCTTCTTTTCTTTAGACTAGCCATACACAAATCTTGCAACTGTTCTTGCTATGCTTTTGTCTCCAGGCCTTTAACCATCTTAGTTGCTCTTCTTTCCACTTTTTTCCCCCAAAGCATTATTTTTCCAAAATAGTAATTGTTAGTATGAGAGAAGGGGGGAAAAAATAAAACAAACCCTGTTGTGTTATTCTAATTTTGATAAAGGTAGGCTCCCTTTTAAAATGAATGCAACCCCTGGTGACTTCATAGGTCCATCCTGGTCCTTTCCTGTATGTGGGATCATTTTTGACCCCCAAAATTGGGCCTAGTAATGATTAGGAAGGGACGTGGTGGTTCAGTGGCTAAGACACTGAGCTTTTTGATAAGAAAAATCGGCAGTTCGGCAGTTCGAATCCCTAGCGTCGNAGGTGCAGAGACAAAGGATGACCTTGGCTTTCTAGAAATAATTTTGTTATGGCTACATAGTATGCCACTCCTTACAATCCCCCCTCCTATTTTCCCACAATAGAAAATGCATAGCAGACTAATAGAAAGTGTGGCAAGCCAAAGATCCAAAAGAAAAGATCGCTGCAGGCGTGACAGCAGCTGAGTTTCCTTTTTAAAACCACTTACCCATCTCTTCTTTGGTCAGTTAAAGATGAATCCCACCTTTCTCCTGCTCTTGGTGTGTTTTCTGCATGCCAGCAGTCTTCCGGGTGAAAAGGCACCCCCAAAGAAGAGGGCCGGGAGGCCTCCACCGTGTGTAAGATGCTGCGGGCAGGACGAGCAGCCGGCCTCCATCACTGCTTCCCGATTCACACGGATGACCACCGACTCTCGTTATGCGACCCCTAAGATCCAGCCCACCATTGATATCCACATCTTAAAAGGCAAGCAATCTCTTTTGATATATTTCCCCTGCACCCTCCATTTCTCCAAAGCTCTGATCTGGATCTCTTCTTGTGTCACATAAACCAGATAGGAAACACCGTGTCGTGCACGACAGTCAGGAAACTCTGATGGTCCAAATGTACATAAGGGTTTATTGCAAGCTCTCTATAAGAATCTGAAGTGTTGATGTTCCAAGCCATTTGACAATAGATAAGAGTCAAATGGAATCCAAGGATGGCTGGACTTAGATCTCTTGTGGGTGCCAAGGGACTCAAGAGTGATGATGTGTTTGACCCCTCCAGTGGTGGGTTCCTCTCCCCGTAGCTACCGGTAAGCTACTCACGGGGCCTAGTGTCCTGTTCGTGCATGCGCGCCATGCATGCATGTGCACTCCACCGCCCCTGCAACATCCAGCTGCTTGTTGGCGGTCATGCAGGTGCCGCACGCTGTTCGCGCGTGTGCAATTGGCTGGTTGCTTTAAAAACTGGTATACAACATGAGCGAGTGGGTGGGCCAAACGGGCCACTGGACCGGTACGCTATTAGCTGCTCCTGGCTACTACCAGTATGGCTGTACTGGGCTGTACCGGCTGGAACCCACCACTGGATCCCTCCCTCGAACTCAGGCTCATCACCTACATACAGCCACGCAGGCTACTTCCACTTTATTGTAAAGCTACATTTCAGAATCATGCCAGTCTGAAAGTACAATTATTTCACTGTCACTTTTATGGCCCATTAACTCAGGGACAGCACCACCCATCATCCAGCTGTTTCTAATCAGAACATTCTCCGAGCAGTATATCTCTTCACCTGATTTCCCAAGGCCATTCTCATGCAGAATCACAGACTGCAATGAAGTGGTACAGATTAATCACGTTGAAAAATCCCTATTAATAGGATTAGGTGAACATGACAATTCTTGCATTTTCTTATGTTTGCAAATGTGTTCCCTTCGGCTTTCCCTACTTTTTAAGTTGGGCCAGTCACATGACATGATGTCCTATCTTACAGCTGTCATGACTGTATAACCTGGAGTCAAGGACTACCTGTTTGAATATCTTCCTGGCTTCCCATCCTTCCATTCAGGAGAGATACTAGGAAAGGAGTTCTCCATTGGAGTCTTTGCTCAGCAGGGCATTTAGACCACAAGGCTATTGTGGCCTGTCGGCTGCCAGCAGAGCTACCAGCAGAGTCAGATGAGGAGAGGGGGAGGGGATGCCTGGGCTGGCTTCAGAGTCTTTGGAAGGCTCTGATGAGGAAGCAGAAGCAGGTGGAGAGCCAGGGCCTTCTGTCTGCCCCCAGGTGGAGAGGCAACTATCTTCGGGGCCTGAGCTGAATGAGGGGGAGGAACAGATGGGACCCATCCCAGATGCAGGTATGCACAGAGAGAAGAGGAGAGCAACGGAAGGCAATAAGCTGGCTCTGAGCGAAAAGAAGTTGTAGATGCTAGCCACCCCCTCTCTGGCTGAGAAATAAATAGGAGAGGTTTGGGAGTGGCCAGTTGTCTGTTTTCCAGTATACATCAATCAAGTCTGATTCCTTTGCCAGAAAAAGGTTTGTCAGGACTAATTGCTCTGTATTTGAGGTGCCAACTGAGTCTCCCTACTGTTGTGGCCAACCAGCAGCCAGCAGAGCTGGTGGCAGACTCAGACAGTGAGGAGGTGGGGTGGGGGTGGGAACATGGGCCAGTCCTGAAGTCTGGGGAAGGCTTGGATACGTTGGAGGCAGAGAGGGGGGCAGGGCTATCCAGCAGTTACCAGCTGCCATCAGAGTCAGATATCAGTTGGGCAGAAGAACAGCTGGAGCCTGTTCCCAGTGTGCGCATGCACAGAGTTGGCACACGAAGGGAACAGCTAAGGAACAGGGGTCGACTTGGGAGTAAGGCCATAGGTGGATGGTGAATCGCCCCTCCCATAAGGAATAAAGAGGAGCGAAATGGGAGTGGAGTTTGCAGGAGGCAATTAGTCCAGTTCATTAGGGTGAAGATCTGTTCCTGACTTCTTGCCAAGTAATTGCTGCTACTGCTTGGCGTTTGGGAGATATTGGCCTGGCAGCTCTCCAAGCCTGATAAAAGTCTGTAGTTGTGAAACTTCATGAAAGACTATTTGCCGGGACTTTGATGGAGAGGAATTCCCTTTAATCTAAATAAAAGGGGTTTTATTGGGACGAGGAGTTGGCTTCATGCTCTTGGGAAGCCTCGGTCAGAACACCGACTGGGAAAGAACAGGGAGTGAATTTGCCTCAGCCAGTGTGAACAAGCACTTACTGTTTCTGCTTGGCTTAATCATTGAAGGACTTTTTAAATCTTGAGTTCTCATGTGAATAATGAACATGTGGACTTTCATTTGTGACTAATTGGTATTGTCTATCCAATGTGGATAAAGACTGTTCATGCCCTGTTTTAAGAAAAAAGGGGTTTGTTTTACTCATAAGTGGTTTCTCATTGCTTGCAAAGGCTAGGTCAGAACAAAGACCTCCAAGGTCCTTTCCAGCCCTCTAGCTCTATGACTGAGAAACATCTTCTCTATCATGTCCAGCTCTTAAATCAGCCCAAAATAACCCAACAAAGAAAGCAAAATCCCTACTCCCACAGCGCCCTCTTTGGCAGGAAAAGAGAACTGGGAAAAAAAAGGGCAGGGCAGTGTTTCACACCACCTAAATTTGTGACACTTTATTCCTCCTTGTCTCCCTAGGAGAAAAAGGTGAGATGGGGGAACGAGGACTTGCAGGGCTCGAAGGCAAATCAGGTGAGCCAGGCCTGCAGGGATCCCATGGCCAGAAAGGAGAAAAGGGTCAGGTGGGCCCCACCGGCCATTCCTGCAAGCAGCATTATGCGGCCTTTTCGATCGGACGCAGCAAACCCCTCCACAGTTTGGATTACTACCAGCGGGTCACTTTTGACACAGAGTTTGTCAACCTCTACAAGCATTTCAACATGTTTACGGGAAGCTTCTTCTGCTACGTCCCCGGGATCTACTTCTTCAACCTGAATGTCCACACCTGGAACTACAAGGAGACCTACCTGCACATCATGAAGAATGAAGATCAAGTGGCCATCCTCTACTCTCAGCCCAGCGAGAGGAGCATCATGCAGAGCCAAAGTCTCATGCTGGACCTCCTGGAAGGAGACGAGGTCTGGGTACGAATGTTCAAGCGGGAGCGGGAGAACGCAATCTACAGTGAGGAATCAGATATCTATATTATCTTCAATGGCCACCTAATTAAGCCAGCTGTAGAAGGAACTCCAGGCCAAGGCTAACGTAGCAGAGGTGGCCCGTCTGTTCGTCAAATGGTGCTTTTCCATGGTCTGCAGCAACAGAGCTTCTTGCCTTGTCCGGGGGGGTGGGGGGTGTCTATGGCTACTCATCACGGCCAACTCGCCACAACCCACATGCCACAGCCAACTTACCATGGCCAATTCGACACGGCCAACTTGACACAGCCAACTTGCCATGGCCAACTCATCCCAGCCAACTCATCACGGCCAACTCACCACAGCCAACTTACCACGGCCAACTCACCCTAGCCAACTCACCATGGCCAATTCACTATGGCCAACTTGTCATGGCCAACTTGTCATGGCCAACCTGTCATGGCCAACTCACCATGGCCAACTCACCATGGCCAACTTGCTGCGGGAAAACTCGCTGCAGGACAAGAGTTACATGAATATCAAAGAAATGGTGGAATAAAACAATTAATAATTAAATTATTAATATATTTAAAAATAATTAAATTGAATTGTTGAATTGTCCTGCAGTGAGTTATCCTGTGCTGACTTGGCCAGGGTGAGTTGTTCTCTTCTGTGCCCAGGGCCCCAATGGCACTAATTTATAAATAGGTGCTACTAGGCTTATGATTTTTCCAGTGTTGTGATGGAGACACAATCTCAGATCTTTGGGATCCTCTGGGTAGTTCTCACAAAACTAAGACCAGTTTGAAAAGACTTCTTGACCAGAAGACAAATGAGTAAGGTTGATCACCATCCCCACTGCTCGAAGGACTCCATCCATCACTTCTTGGAATACTTGACCATCTTTTGAGGCAGAGGACACACTTCAAAGAGAAGAGGGGGGAATCCAAAATACAAAGATGACATTGTCTAGAGTGCAGCCATGTGCCATTTTATTTCCTAAGAATACTTCTTGGCTTCCTGTGGGTGCAGAGACATCCTTGGGAATCAGAATGATGGCAAAGATAGTATGTATGATAAACTTAGTCCTCAATTTATGACCAGTCATATACGGGCTATTTGAATAGCAGACTTGTTAGAGTTGGAAAGGACCTGGGAGGACTTCTAGTCCAACCCCCTGCCCAAGCAGGAGACCCTACACCATTTCTGACAGATCCAATCTCTTCTTCAAAGCCTGCAGTGATGAAGCTCCCACAACTTCTGGAGACAGGCCTTTCCACTGGTTAATTGTTCTCATTGTTAGGAAATTTCTCCTTAGTTCTAGGCTGCTTCATCACTGCAGGCTTTGAAGAAGAGATTGGATCTGTCAGAAATGGTGTAGGGTCTCCTGCTTGGGCAGGGGGTTG